TGTGTGTGTATTGCAAATTTTAATTTTTCCTTATTTATTTTTTATTTAATTTATGTAATTTAAATGTTGTTGTGTTATTTTTATTGCTACTTTTTCTATTTGTTGTTTTTATTTATTTGTTTATTTTTACATTTATTTAAGATTTTAAGTCATTCATTTTTTATTGTTATTTATTTTTACTTAATTTTTTTATTTATTTACAGACAAAAGTCAGCACCGAATCTCATTTTTATAAAACGAAATAATCTCTGAACTTATTATTATTATTTTACTATTATTTTTTTTCCTACATTGAATTAAATTCATTTATTAATTTTCCTTCAGCTTAGTACTTTATTCATCAGGGATTGCCACAATGGAATGAACCGTCAACTATAGCAGCATATGTTTTACACAATGAATACCCTTCTAAAAAATAAATACCCTTCTAGCTGCAACCCAGTACTGGGAAACACCCATACACACTCATTCTCACACACTCATACACTACACCCAGTTTAATTAATCAATTCCCCTATAGTGCATGTGTTTGAACTGTATAGGGGAAACTCGGAGGAAACTCACGCCAGCATGGGGAGAACATACAAACTCCATAAAGAAATGCCAACTGACACAGCCGGGACTCAAACCAGCAACCTTCTTGCTGTCACCACCACTGAGCCACTGTGTCGCATTATACAAATAATTATATTTAATTTTAAATTAATAAATTCTCATATATTCTCATAGAAATTTAACATAACATAATATTTGTTTGTGACTGAAATAATCCCGGCCTGAACTGCTTTTTATATTTAAATTTTAGTTTTGTTTATTTGTGTTTTTTTTTTTTTTTTTAAATAATTACTTTTTCGCCGGTTCATTCCGCTGTGGCGACCCCTGATTAATCAACGAACTAAGCTAAAAAGAAAATGAATGAATGAATGAATTACTTATTCATATAATAAATATGAAGCATTTTATTATGAATCTATTTGTTATTATTAATTTATTTTTGTTTTCTAATATTATTTTAATTTAATTTTTTTTATTTAAGTAGATTTTTTTGTTTTTAAATTTTCCCACATTATTATTTATATGTATTTTTTATTTATTTTTATTTGTGTTTATATTATTACTTCTGTTTATTTTTATGATATTTCATTATTTTATTTATTACTTTATTTTATTTAGTTTTAGAATATTTTATTTTATTTTGGGCTTTACAGACATAAAGTCAGCCCTCAATCTCATCATTAAAAAGAAAAATAGCCAGCACAGTGGCTCAGTGGTTAGCACTGTGGCCTTACAGCAAGAAGACCGCTGGTTCGAGCCTTGGCTGGGTCAGTTGGCATTTGTGTGTGGAGTTTGCATGTTCTCCCTGTGTTGGTGTGGGTTTCCTCCAGGTGCTCTAGTTTCCCCCACAGTCCAAACACATGTGGTATTGGGGAATTGATTAACTAAATTGGCCAAAGTGTATGAGTGTGAATATACAGGTGTTTTTCAGTAGTTAAAATAGTTGGCGGTTCATCACTCTGTGGCGACCTCTGAAATAGAGACTAACCCAAACGAAAAATAATAAATAAAAAAAGCAAAAAATCTGTGCACTTTTATTATAGTTTTCCTCTTCATTGGATGAAATTAAATCTTGCAATAGCTTCACCTCATTTAAGCATCCGGCCAATCACTATCAGCTCCATCAACATTTTACATCCCTCATTCCCCAAAGCAATACTTCATACACTCTTCATCAGAATTGAATCAAACATCTAGCCCATGGAAACAATTGTTCCTGCGTTTTTGGCAGAATAAATCTAACATTTGCTCTGCAGGAAAGGGCTTTTGAATGCATGCTAATGGAACGATGCATAGCAACCTAGAGAGTTTATTAACACACCAATGTTGTGTTACAGAGAAAACCACACACCCAGGAGAACTCAGTGCTTTAGCAGAAAAATAACAACCGATCCTAGTTTTTCCTCAGCATTACTCATAAGGAATGATACTTTTTTTTTTTTCGTGTGAATCGAAAAAGCTTCTCAGGGATGATCAGTTGCATGAAAAGCGATCAGAACGAACACCTTTGGACCATATAAACAGATGCAGCTCACAGAAAAACATCAGTTTTAGGTGCTGCGGGCTCATATTTACAGTACAAACTGCTACTCATCAATCATTTTCTCCCACGAGCACATTATTAATAAGGTTTATGCCGGTCTGTAATGCAATATGAGCTGAACAATCACCACTTTGACTGTTTGTGTGCTTCGTTTTAGTTGCATGTAAACGAGGAGTGGGATGTTTGGTTCGGACATTTGTGTTTGTTTTAGTGAACTGATATGCTTTCTTAAATCCCAAGGAGGTTTTAACCCTGCTGATCTTTGATTTTTCCCTTTCAGACTGAAATATCTGTCCCACAAATTGCTTTATTGAATGTTTCTTCAATGTTAGGGCGTTAGTTTTGCCAAATGTATTGATGTTGTCTTTTGATAATGCTGTTCTGTAATGGAGAAACTGCTGTGTGTTGCCATATGGCAGATTTATAGGCACTGGCTTTGATTATTTTACATTTAATCATTTATCTGGAAGTGTTTACTGTACTATTACTCAATTGCATTTGTACATAAATAACACAACTATGATACATGTTGCTATTTTATATGCAAAGAGAATACATTGTTTTTAATAATAATAATAATGATAATAAAAAAACGATAATGGTATTTATAACTAATTATTATTAGTAGTATAAAATAATACATATGATTATAATAATAATTATAATCATTAATAATAATTAATGATAAATAAAGGGACTAAGCCGAAAAGAAAATGAATAAATAATAATAATAATAATAATAATAATAATAATAATAATAATGGTAATGATAAATTATAATTATTATTAATAAATATTTAAATAGTAGTAGTAGTAATAATAATAATAATAATAATAATGTTAATAATAAAAATAATAAAATATAATATTATTAATAGTAATAATAATAATAATAATAATAATAATAATAATAATAATAAAAATAATAATAGTGGTAGTAGTAATAGTAATAATAATAATTATTATAATAATGATAATAATAATAATAATAATAATAATAATAATTATTATTATTATTATTATTATTATTATTATTATTATTAATATTATTATTTCTATTATTATTAGAACTCTAAAAAAGGGCTGTAAATTCTGACATTAAAATACTCGTATTTTTTATGGATTACATTTTAGCCCTAAATTCTCATTATTTTTTTATTGAAATCTTCATGCTTTGCTGCTCTCCTTCAAACCACCAGATGTAACTGATGTCAGAATTTATAAAAAAAATATTATAATCTCTCCTATAACATTTAGTCATTTTTAAATAGTACAAGTAATACTATTTGTGTTGTTTCACTTAACTTAAATATTTTATGCTGAATTATTGTTAATTATTTATGTATTACTATTTATATATTTACTAGTATTATAATTTGACAATTTAAGTCAATACCAATATTTAATTTGGTGCACCAAATTATTTGTAATATTAAAACATTTTATAAATATACAAACAAAACAAAGCTCAAAATAGTTAAACTGAAATCTAGTTACATTTTATATATATATTTACATATGCATAAATCCCTCCACAACTCATGATTTCCATTGCTTTCATTGTTTATTTTTTTCAAGTTTTTGCTGGTTTTCCTCGAGCTGGAGGAATGCAGAGAATTATTCATATACTGCTCATTACTGATTCATACTTGGATCTGGATCAGTTATGCTGTACTGTAATTATTACTGTCGAAAGCACCTGCGCTGCATTATGAGATGTTTCAGAAGCCTTTCTGCGGCTGTTTACAGCCGAATGGATTCATTACAGACATGGAAATTCTTCCAAAATATACTGTGTGTGTGTGTGTATGTGTGTGTGTGTGTGTGTGTGTGTGTGTGTGTGTGTTTATTGCAAATTTTTATATTTCCTTATTTATTTTTTATTTAATTTATGTAATTTTAATGTTGTTGTGTTATTTTTATTAATACTTTTTCTATTTGTTGTTTTTATTTATTTTTTTTATTTTTTTTATTTTATTTAAGATTTTAAGTCATTCATTTTTTATTGTTATTTATTTTTACTTTATTTTTTATTTATTTACAGACAAAAGTGTGTATGCGTAGAAATGACATGAGGAAACATACAGTGCTGCTTCCCATCCAGGCTCCAGTCATGCGCTACACATTTAATCAGGATTGGGTGTATTGAGTTACAAAGTAACCGGTTACTGTAATTAAATTACTGTTTTTTAAGGTAAAGGATTAGTTTTCAGTTTTAGGTCATTTAATTAGAGTTACTTATAATGGTCTTGCCATAAAAGTTGTAAATAAGATCAATTCAGAGCAGCAGATGAATCATTTCAGATGAAGAATAATCAATTAATAATGACCTTTACAAAGACACCCTCATAATCTAAAACAGGGGTCACCGAACTTGTTCCTGGAGGTTCAGTGTCCTGCAGAGTTTAGCTCCAACCCTAATCAAACACACCTGAACAAGCTAATCAGGCTCCTACTTGGTATACTTGAAACATCCAGGCAGGTGTGTTGGGGCTAGTTGGAGCTAAACCCTGCAGTGACACTGGACCTCTAGGACCGAGATTGGTGACCCCTGATCTGGGTGAATGGCTGGTGGAATGTATCCGTATAGCTGGAGTGCCCTCTAGTGAGCCTGGTGGATACTGCAGCTAATGACCGTTACAAAAATATATGCAGAATCTTAGTGACCCGACCCCAAACTGAGCTTTGCTGACTCTCTCTCTCTCTCTCTCTCTCTCTCTCTCACTGTGTTGCAGGGTTTTGGAAGCGTGTCGGGCGAACACTGGCTGGGGAACGAATTTGTCCACGTTCTGACCAATCAGAGGCAGCACGGCCTCCGCGTGGAGCTGAGTGACTGGGACGGACACCAGGCCTTCTCTCAGTACGACAGCTTCCACATCGACAGCGAGAAACAGAAATACAGGTACTGCAGTGCTGGTCCTTATTAGGGATGTTCTGATATCCTTTTCCCCTTCCTGATATCGATTCAGATACCAGGGTATGGTCCTATGCCTGACTATCTGTAGAAACAGTTGTGTATACCACTAGCCCTGTATAAATTGACAGAATTAACTTAGCATGCTTCAGACTTGTCCATTAATAAAACATGAACAAATACCTACAGTGAACTAGAGTATGGGTGACATGGTGGCTTAGTGGTTAGCATTGGGGCCTCACAGCAAGAAGGTCACTGGTTCGAGTTAAAGCTAGGTCAGTTCTTCCGGGTGCTCAGGTTCCCCCCACAGTTCAAGCACATGCGCTATAGGGGAATTGATGAACTAAACTGGCCGTAGTGTGTGTGTGTATGGGTGTTTCCCAGTACTGGGTTGCAGCTGGTTTGTGGGAACACCTCTATTTTTACTTCTGAAGCTTCTGTTAGATCCCTGCATTCATTCATAGTTTTACTCTCTTTGGGATTTACTGAATAAATGCATTTCAAGGCTGAAGCTGTTGGGAGAAATCAAGCTGTTTGTTTTAAATCTATCTGGTGTTGAATTAGGGTTGGATGTCACAACACAAAATGCTTCTATATTCAGCCCCTATTAGTCACTTAGATTTTTTTTTTCTTCACAAAATAGACCAAAAGCAAAGTCTTTGTTGGATGCACTTGTGTTTGCAGGTGGAGCTGCACACTGTTGGTGCTGTGGAGAGACGTTTGTACAATGTTAAAGTGATTTGAGTGTATTGCAAGAGTCAAAGTTTATTGATAAAGCATTTTCTATTAACGACAGCTGTTGACTAAAGTGCTGTACTGTGTTCAATAAAGTCAAACAAAAATAAAACGTAACAAAATATAATACAATTATAAAAAATTTAATAAAATAAAATGGAATTAAAAAGTTTAATTTAATTTAACAGAATAAAACAGTTAATTTATTTTTTATAAAATAGTGAATTGAATTTAATAAAATAGTTAATTTAATTAAATATAATAAAAATATTTAATTCAATTTAATAATATAGTGAATTTACTCTTATTTAGGTTAGTTGAATAAAATAGTTAATTTATTTTAATAGTGAATTTAATTTAATGCAAAAAAGTAGTTAATTTAATTCAATAGTGAATTTAATTTAGTTTAATGGAATTAATAGTTAAATAATTTCAATAATGAATTAATTTCATTTCATTTACTGGAATAAAATAGTTAATTAAATTTATTAGTGAATTTAATCAAATTTAATTCAATAAAATAGTGAGTTTATTTAATGTAATGGAATAAAACAGTTAATTTAATTTATTAGTGAATTTAATAAAATTTAATTCAATAAAATAGTGAGTTATTTTAATAGCGAATTTAATTTCATATAATTGAATGAAATAGTTAATTTAATTTATTAGTGAATTAAATTAAATTTAATTCAATAAAATAGTGAGTTTAATTTAATGTAATGGAATAAAATTGTTAATTTTATTTTAATAGCGAATTTAATTTTATATAATTGAATGAAATAGTTAATTTAATTCAATAAAATAGTGAAATTTAGTGAATTGAATTTAGTTAAATGGAATAAAATAGTTAATTAATTTTAATAGTGAATCATTTAATTTAAAGAAATAAAATAGGAAATTTATTTAATGAAATAGTGGATTTAATGGAATAAAATACTCAATTTAATTTCATACATTTTTTAATTTAATTTATTTTAATGGACTAAAAATATCTAATGTAATTAAAATTAATTTAACAAAAAAAAAGTGAAGTGAAGTGAAATAAAATCAGCTCTCACAAAGTGTTAAACACTAGACTAAAAAGATAAAGTTTTAAACTTAAAAGCAGAAAGTGTTTGGGCCTTTCTAACCTATAGATACACAATGCACAAAAAATGTGCTGTATAAATGCTCATTATTCACTGTAGTTGAGGCAGGTGCATTTTATGAAAACACTTGCTGCACTTCAGACTTCTGGATCTTTAACGTCCAGCACACTTGGCCAGTCGGAGCTGCTGAAGAGTTTCAGGAATCTAATCAACTTTCTCATCTCTAAAAATAGATGTGTTCTCTGTAACAGTTATGCTGGCAATCACACACTGCCAAAACAAAGCACAGAGTTCGACACCTCCGGCACTTCAGATCAGACCTTCAGATTCCAGCTTTTTATTCTGCATACTGTACGGTATACACTGAGCAGAGCCAGCAGATGCGGTATGGAGATATGCATATCTACTGTGTTCACTTCTAAATCCCAGCAGCAGCAGCTTGTTTTTATTTTTTTTTTCTTACAAAGGAATTTATATGCTGTGCCAATGTGGTTTGTGCTCTTTAGTTCTGGTTTATTCAGAAATGACTTATCAAGGTAAGGTTACAGGCAGGAGTAAATAAAAAAAGAAGGATGTTTTAAAAGTGTGGAGGGAAAACTGGGAAGAAGGAGGTGGAGAACTGACCAACTCATAAATGTTTTTAGAATTAAACATGAGACAAGAATGGGTGTTGTTGAAAAGTTTTAACTTTAATTAAATGTTTTGAACCACGTGTGTGTTGGTGTATATACAGAAATCAGAATTATTACCCCCCTAAATTATTAGCTGCCCTGTTTATTTTCCCCAATGTCTGTTTAACAGAGAGCAGATATTGTTCAGCACATTTCTAAACATAATAGTTTTAATAACGCATCTCTAATAACTGATTCATTTTATCTTTGCCATGATGACAGCACATTATATTTGACTAGATATTCTTCAAGACACTTCTATACAGCTAAAAGTGACATTTAAAGGCTTAACTAGGTTAATTGGGGTAACTAGGCAGGTTAGGGTAATTAGGCAAGTTATTGTATAATGATGGTTTGTTCTGTAGACTATCGAAAACAAAATTAGCTTAAAGGGGCTAATAATATTGACCTTAAAATTGTGTTTTAAAAAATTAAAAAACTGCTTTTATTCTAGCCGAAATAAAACAAATAAGACTTTCTCCAGAAGAAAAAATATTATCAGACATCCTGTGAAAATTTCCTTGCTCTGTTAAACGTAGTTTAGGAAATGTTTAAAAAAAGAAAATCAAAGCGGGCTAAAAATTCAGACCAACTGTGTATATGGGGTGTAACAGTAGTCATTTTTTTAATGTATTTGTCCCAAACCATGTTGAATATGTGTGTCTTATTGTTTGTATTTGTTTTTATAAATGCACACGAGAATAACACTGTTTTTTATCATTAAAATGCGCCATATAATCAAAATTTCATTTAAAACAGACATCATGCATTATCGGAGTCTAAATGACTCGACGAATTTTAGTTTTTTTCCTAAGTTCTGAAAACTGGGATGCATTTTAAATTCTGCACCCTTACACTCATCTGCATGCTGTTGTATCCTAGAATCGTTACCGCTGATCAGAACTAGGCGTTGAAACATAAGCATTACCGTTCATTAAATGTCCGGTCCTTCAGGATTTGATTGAACCCTTTCCTCTCTGGTGCACAGATTTGAAAAACAAGTTAATATCATAAAACTAGAGTGTCATAACTTTCAAATGATGCCTTGTTTTTGATAAATAGTTGAATATGTGCAATAAACGAAGGTAATAAACTCCACAGTCACGCCTAGCCACGCCCCGACGGCCCGAATACAGACCCCTGCTTACTATGGGGTTAAAAAAAATATATATATTTTAGCAATACTTAAAAAAAAAATCCACGGTATTTCTCTCTTCCACTCCCTCTGGGAAACCAATAAAGCATAAATTCTGACGGCGAGATCGTTTTTTGAGTTCATCATTTTTATCTTTCAGCTGTTTAATTTCGTCGCGATCAGGCGGCTTAACATCCGCAACATCTTTGTAAAGGCCTGTTACAGCTTCCATCTCCATCTGCTTTGTTTCCACCTCCACCACTTATTGATTGTAGTTCATTTCTCATTTTCTCCAAGGATTCTGCGAATTTAAGCTTGTTGCTGTCAATTAACTCCTGAATTTTGTGAGATCCCTTCTTCATTTTGGCGTGGGACCATGGTGGTGGGTTGGATAATGGCAGTCTTGTGTCTTGAGTATCTTCCTTCTTGTAGTCTGCTTTAATAATAATAATAATAATTCCTTACATTTATATAGCACTTTTCTGGACACTCAAAGCGCTCCTCATCCACCACCAGTGTGCAGCATCCACCTGGATGACGCAATGGCACACACCAGCTGATTGGTGAAGAGGAGACAGATGGTGGACAGAGGAGAGTAGGCAAATTTCACCGGGATGCCGGGGTTAAACCCCTACTCTTTTTCGGAGGACATCCTGGGATTTTTAACTATCACAGAAAGTCAGGACCTCAGTTTAACGTCTCATCCGAAAGACGGCGTTCGCTGAGCAGTATAGAGTCCCCGTCACTATACTGGGGCATTAGGACTCACACAGACCGCAGGTTGGCTGCCCCCTGCTGGTCTCACTAACACCACTTCCGACAGCAACCTAGCTTTCCCATGTGGTCTCCCATCCTGGTACTGACTTGGCGTAGCCCTGCTTTCCTTGTATTTGGCGTATTTGTCTTAATAATCAAAGTGCAACAACCTAATGTTTTAAATAGAGCACTTTGGTTACACAGAGTCTTTAGGGCGTGTTTTTTTTTCAGCCTGATCTCACAAGAAAACGTAAGTATTGTACGATTTGGCTGTTTAGGGGCTAATTCGTTCAAGATCAGAGTTCAGTCGTACAAAATTGTACGAGTTTAATTATATGATTTATAGTTCAGCTCAGATCTTGAATATAAAATACGTAGCAGATGCTTTGAAATGAAACTCAATGCAAACCAACAGCATCAGTCCTTCAGTAACTTATTAATAATGTTCGACAGGTTTAATTTGGATTAATTAAAAACTTTTAGCATTTCATTGGAAGGGCTGGTATTTAAATGGTTCTGTCGTGTCATGTTTAGTGCTGACAGACAAATTGCATGTCACTGGAATCTTGTTAGGACACAGGGTAGACGAAATAAAAAATGTAT